AAATTTTTTAATTCTGTAAATAAGATATAAATAACTAACAAATGCATACTCACGTGGTTCTATTTATAAGTTCAAGAGAAAAGATTTCCTTTTTTTTTAATTTATAAGTAACATCATTAAATTTTTTACATGAATATATAATTTTATCTTTTATTTATTATTGTGTGAATTATTATTTCTCAGAAATTGTGTGTGTATACACATTAAATATGAATAAAATTAGAAAATTATTAAACTTTAATACTACTTCTCATTCTTAATATAAAATTTAATTTATAATTTAAAAGTAAACCTTATATCAAAGACGAGAGGTAATATAAAGTTGATGAAATTTAAAATTTTTCATGATTATAATAAAACATGCTAGAATTGAGTTATATATGAGTAAAGACGCTGATGTTTCAAGAAAAGGAAATGTAGACCAAGTCATTTTTCCTCTACATCTCTGATCTGACAGCCATGACTATTCAAAACAATGCTCACGCTTTGGCATCCAAATAAATGCCCATTCAAGGAAATCTCAGCGAATTAATCTAATCAACTAAATTTGCCAAACAGTTATACCAATTCTAAGTCCCGTTCGTTCCATACAAACTCACGCTTCCTTCACCATAATCTAAATGACTATTTTTTCCCCATTGAGAGGTTATAAGGCCTTAGCATCTGCGTTTTGCACTAAAATTGAGTTTTATTCACTCAGTTATGATTAATCAGGATAATAATTCATTGAATAGAATTGATCTGCTAAACCGTGAAGTTGTGGTTTTGAACCTGCCAAAGTCTCCTGTGTACGTACCAAGAATAATATTATGACAGGGTTCGGGAAAAAAAAAAAGGTGACATGCATATAGGGTTGAACATGCATACAGTTTTTAATGTAAGACCTAATTGAAAAATTAATATTAACCATATATGTAAAAAAATTATTCAATACGTATTAGAAAACAACAGAGGGAGAGACGTCATACCAAAACCACTTCAACTAAAAAAAAATTATCTCCATTCATTCCTTCGGTTGTCAATTTAGTAGACGACGGTCAATTTTTATCAATTAAATTTCTAAATTCTGATACGAATAACTAAATTATGAGGGTAAAAAATTAGTAAAAATTGGTTTACAGTAATAAATGTATAAAAAATTGATTTTGTTTTTAAAAGAATTTCATACTTATGGAGAGAGGGAGTGAATGAGCAGAAAAAAAGAGATGAACACGATGATATAATTAATGAGGGAAATAATTAAAAAATTGATTAAAATTTCAAACACCTTTTTGCTTTGTTTGGATCGGAATAAAAGTTGGGACAAAAAAATAGGAGGAAAAAATATTAAGAAAAGATAAAATATTATCATCTCTCTTACTTGAATGGAGGGGAGAAAATTAAAAGAAAAAAAGAAAATGAGTAAATATGTTAATGACTAAAACACTTTTATCTCCATGTCAAAATATATTAGGTTTAAAATCATTCCCAAAATCTATCTCTTATAATTAAATTTTTGTGATTAAAATACCACAGTTTTAACGCTAATACAAATCTTAAGCAACAATGTGTATATTTTCTAGTGAAAAAACAATTAACAATGTATGTATTATATGTATGAATGATAAATAGTTACAAGGACAAGGGTCACAACTACCACCGCACCCCCCGCACCTATCCTCTCACTGTATATTTTACCCTTTTCCAATTATGTTTCCTTAATTGTCTTGTAAATTGATTTTATGTTCTAGAATGTCCTCAGTATTATAATATTTACTCATTTAATGAAAGGAGAATTACAATAAAGTTCTAAAAAAATTATTATTAAAAAGTCTCAATAAAATTTAGGTCTTGTTAGCTAATTAAATTTTTAAACATGGATTTTTTTAACTAAATTTCCCATAGTACAATTGGTATTCCCATCTATTGCATATATATTTTCAATAGGAGATCATGATTACGACATTCGTGTGGATGTTATTTTCACAAACATATTCTTCGTAAAGAATAAACACAACACGATTGTCTCAATAAAGCCAACCAAGACCTGAAAACCGAGTCACAACCATACAAACAGTGGAGCAATATAGTCAATGGCCGGTGATCTCCAAGAATAGAATTATTATGTATGAATGAATCTCTTTAAAAACAATTAAAAAATAAGAAATCAAACACTTATCAATTCTCTCTATTCTGGGTGTGATTAGAATTTATGACCCATAGAGACAACAACTCTGATCTGTTATAAATCTGACATCTCATGTATTATTCAAACAAACCTGGGACAAAGCGCAGTTTTAGCAGAAAACATTTAACGAAACCATAGTATACTGCAAAACCAAATGTAGCCGGAGATCATCAGAACCAAGCTCTGTTGGGTACGTAGTAAATTCTCGAAAATTGTAGGCATGCGGCATATATAGTTAAAAAATCCGCTTCAATAAGCTCAGTTCCAGGCATTGCGTGCACGGAGAATTTATGTGCCATCCTATAGCAGTTGGCTATAGTAGTTGAGTTGACTCATAGCATCTGTTGCAGTTTATGCACTAGACTGAGAAAGAAAAAGGGAGGGGCAATGATATGTATATATAGTCTCGATCTCGATGGAGACGAAAAGAATGAGCAAAAGGAGAATAAACCAAGGGCTATAATTACTTGTAATTTTTTTGTAGATGATTTTAATGAAAGGCTCCCACATGGATATTGGGCGAAGAATTTGCAGAAAGCGGAGAAACAAACAACAGAAAAAGAAATCTATATTTGGCTAAAAGCTATCAGTTTTAGGTCGTATATTTGGTAAAGCAATGAGCCAGTTTTATCATAAAGCTAGAAATATAGCTCTAATATTTATTGATGATGTTAAGAATCGTTTGCTCAAGATAATTTATGCTTGTGTTTAATTATATCTGTTTAATCAACGTTGACAACCTCTTTGGACTAGAAGTAAGCGATGGAATAATACATTTTTCATCAATAAAAGTTCTTGGCATTGGTTCATATGGCTGGAATGAACTAACATTAGATTTTGAAATATCAGTTAATAAATTGTATCCTATGGCAATAAACATAGTACCTTGCATTGAATTTGTTTGTTACTTTTGCATCACTGATTGGTATTGTTAATCTCATATATGATAATAATTATAGTTAATGGCCAGATACAGGGCAAACTGTGAAGTAGCTTGAAGGAACCATCTGCACTACGTAAAAAAATATTGCATTACTTTTTGCCTGTGGTACTAGTTTGCTGCGTATATCGCTGCTACCTTAATGTACATTTTGGACTATAATTCTTCTCAAGGGAATATATATGGAAAGCGTCTATTGATATGAACTATACAGATTTAACCCTTTTTTCCACTGAGATAATTTTGATAATTAGATTGTTAGCAGCTTTTTGTTTTGGACCTCAAGGAGATTGTTTGTTCCCCCTCCTTGAACTCTTGAAAACAAGCGCAGAACCCCTCTTGAACTCTTGAGAACAAGCGCAGAACTGAGCTTAGTAATTTCATAATGTATAAGTTGAATTTAGTTCCAAGAATGTGAATATAATACTCATTACAAAAAAACATGCCCCTTTACGTTACTATGAGGAGTACAAAAATTGTGTGAGAAAAAATATGAAACCAAAAGGAGCTAACACAGAAAGCAATCAAAAGTAGCAATCCAAAACGTAGCAGCAACAGAGAGCAGCACAACTACAATGAAGAAAAGAAAAAGAGACAAAACAAAGTTAATATCAGGTAATAATCAATTGAAAGAGAAATGAAGATTCATTTAAAAAATTTTTAAAAACAGAGATATTATGGGAACTCACGATCATTCCCAAGAAACCATCACCCCTACTCGTGGTCTTCTGCAGAACACTCTGTTTTGGGTCCCAAGAAACATCATCCTTTGAAGGATACCCCATTGGTGGAGGCGCACTCACGGTCGGCGGCGGCGGCGGATATGCTATTACCGGTGAAGGATACGACACTGCAAATTCATCATATATCATATATAATCTCATTAATTAATATTGTTAATTGCATTTACTAACACAATATAATGATATAACAGAGTAGTAGCTTGTTGTGGAAGAGAAAACTTACCGGGAGGATCAAGCTGATTGTAATGATGATTCATGATTACCAAATAATATTGAAGTTGACAATGATCTTATGAACTATATGAAGATACGGGTAGACCCGAAAATGAGATGAGATTGAGATGCTATGTAGGACGCATATATATATATGGTATAGGTGCGCGAATGGTGGGCGGCTAAGACAGCATGAAAGCGCCTGGGAGTAGGCAGTTTCGGGGAAGGGATCGACCTTTCCATTGCTAAGGTTGCTTAATGCTCTGTGCTTCCCTCTCAAAGCTGACAATATTATCAACTGTGCCCAATGAATGCGATAATGTTTTGATCGATCGAGTCATATTTTTGGCTGTGACTTTGTAGGGATTATTTAAAAAATAATAAAGAAATGAAGAACAAAAAGAAAAAAGATAAACCAAAAAAAAAAAGCAGTTAATTTTTGCGAGTAAGACCGACCCATATTTTTGCTGAATCTTGGAAGATTTGCATTATCATTTACAGTCTGTCGTATGTTAGGTGCTAAAATTGGATTTGATTGCACTGTACGTGGAGACATGCTTAAACGTATGAATCAACTTCAACATGCTATGGGGATTTAGGCGTTAAAAGTAAATCCGAGAAGCAATGCTCATAAATAAATATTGATGATAGGAACAGAGAGGCAGAGACGAAATAGATATATAATAATGAAGGATTTTGAGAAGGAGATTGCTAAGTTATACGTACACATATAGGTTGGAGGCAGCGGCAGCCACGGTAGCTTAATGGAAGGTTCGAATAACATTATGAAAGCACGTGGTGAAGAAAGATGAATGTGAATAGCCTTTATATAAGGCTGCTTCTTGCTCTGTTTCTCTCTATTTATATACTCAAAGGACACAACAAGAGCAAGCTCATTAATAAAAATTTGTCATTGCAAGTTTATGAGCGAATGTACTTTCACGTCAACATTTGCTGTTTCATTTAATAAGTTATTTTATTTGACCATTCAACTTATAGTCAAGTACTATGCAACGCTATGTTATAAGTCCAATTATTGAACGAGACAAAAGAAAATTATCTATATTTAAGTAACATATGGTCTTATACCTCGGCAGATCCGCTGGCCAAAAGAGGAACCTAAGAAAAGAGAAGAAGATAAGAGACAGTTATTGATACGGTCTTAATTTTTTAATAATTTTGCATTGTAACTAATGTGCTTTTACATCTTTTAATTAATTTTTTGTGATTAAAATATCACAGTTTGATAGGCTTATGAAAATATCAGTCTTAATTAACAATGCATGTCTATGTAATATGCTGGCTGTGTGTGTGTATATGCATGAATGATAAAATAGTTAAAAGAAAGAAGGTGACCTGATAAGCACTTGCCGTTTAAATCCAATGTTTGAAGGTGGTGGAAAGGGAGAAAAGAAGAAGCCTTGAGTGACCAGTTGATGTCTGCCAACTCAGAAGGTCTTGTATCCTTCAAAAGGCGGCTTATGACTCTCTTAGTGGAGTTGTCACACTCTAGACTCCCAAGTGCAGCAATCAGATAATAACTTACTGATGAGCAGGGAGGATGTGAATGGCATATATATATGTATATATATCACACGTGTCATTTCTTCAGTTTTGTTGTGAGCTTCAGCGTTGTTAACAACTAATAATTTATACATTTTGTGCACGTGTGATTGTTTGATATCTTTGTATAAGTTTTGAAATATATTTTCACATAAAGTCCAAACATGCAGTTTCATCTGTGGTTAAGTATTGGTTTGGATTTGATTTATGTAGGTTTTTGTCTCAAGTTTCTATTGATCAACACGATCCGAGAAGTATTCTCCCAAGTGCTGCACTTCATAACTGACGCAGACTTGGAGCCTTTTAGTCATAAAAGATTACAAAAAGATGAAGATTCGTTGCCCACAAAATACACGGTCGCTAACAATTAATGTTCACAGCACAAATAAGCTTTATATTCCAAATCTCAGTGCATGTGCTTTTGACATTTCTGCACAATCAAACAAAATATGCCCCCATCCGTCAAAGGGAACCTGGAAAGCCAGAATCTATGGTAGACTGAGGTTGCTGCGCAGCAAGTAAACTATGCATCTAAACTCTAAAGTTTTCTATCTATTTATCTGTGTTCAGCACCAAAATTGAGTCTTAGTCAATCAGTTATTGTTAATTATTAGCATAATAACTCATTGGATTAATCTAAACCGAATTGGTGGTTTTGAATTTGATTAGCCAAAGACTCCTATGCACCAAGAATAATATTACCCAAAAAAAAGTTGGGAAAATATATAGTTGATATGTGAGGTCGAACGTGCGAACGGCTAGCCAAATAAAAAATTATATCCACTCAATTTTTTTTTTTTGGTCTTGTTCATTGGTTTTGGACTCCGTTTATTCTTAATTTTATAGTTTAATCATGGACAGTGCGACAAAAGTTGCTGTAAGGTATCTTTAAACATTTTAGTTGTCATTAAATTTTATGCGAGCCTGTACTTGTTTAAAGATATGAAAGAATTACAGTATTTTTTGAAGAGTCGTGTCTCATGTTTTTTTATTCTCTCCCAAAATGGGAATAACATATGTAAGGGGAAGAACAGCAAGATATGAAAGCAGCACAGAGTTGATAAAAAAATACTGTGGGACTCAACATAGCAAATTAAAAACAGAGCTTTTGATGATGACTTGTGATCTCACCTTCTTTAACAGAAGAAGCATCATTGGAGGGATACCCCATTGGTGGTGAATATAAAATCACTGGTAAACATAACATCACTAATTAGTATTGTTAATCTCATGCATCTATAGTTAATGGTCAGATACAGGGCAAACTGTGAAGAAGCTTGAAGGAATCATCACTTAAACTACGTTTGGCAACATAGTATTTTCATCACAAACTGTATACGTTATACCTATAACAATAAACATAGTAGGAGGTTCTTGTGGATGGTAGTAATTCATTGTTAAAAAAATATTGATGAAGTTAAGTTGATTATCTTATGAACGATAGGAACAGAGAGGCAGAGACGAAATAGAGATGATAATAACGGATTTTGCGAAAGAGATTGCCAAGCTGTGCACACACATGAGAAGTAATGATTCGAATATTCCAATTAAGTTTCCTTTCTGATCCTGAGAAGACTCGAAACCAGCAGTCTTTTGGTTATTGTAATTCTCGAAAAGATCACCAAGCCATCTGTTACATAATCAAAATCTCATGAACTATAATTAAAACTGTTTTCTTTTTTGCCACCACTCATACATATAACTTGTTATATCTCTCTCTAATACGAGTAGTTTGTAATTGCAAATGTAAGGGTTCAAATAAAGAACTGTAATGACACCTATAAAAAATACTGCAAATGCTCCGGCAAAACTCCATAAGAAAGCATCTCGAAAATCATCAGATGCCAAATGATGAGGTTGCCTGTTTCTCCGTGCTATTGAGCAATTTTGCTGCAAAGGGGGACCGCATAGAAAAGGGTTTCCTTCATAACTAGCAGAATCAAAAGTTGAAAATTGATTTTTCATGTCAGGTGTTGTTCCAGATAGATTATTATGAGCCACTGAGAAGAAAGACAAGGAGTACAACTGAGTTAGTTGTGCAGGAATGTAGCCTGATAATTTGTTGTGTGAAAGATCAAGGCTTTCTATCTGCTTGAGGTTTGAAAACGTATCCGGAATACGCCCTTTCAATTGATTGTTTGACAAATTCAATGCATGGATAGTGCCTAAGTATCCAATTTGTGCGGGAATCTCACCTATCAATTGATTACTCGAGATATCCAACCCAGACATGAAATCTAAAATGCTTCCTTTGTAAGATTCATACCTGCTTTTTGTTGTAAAATCTACTTCTTAGTCCTTATACAATGTAACATTTTGTTTTTCTTCTGGTATAGAAACTTCACCAGTCAAAGGGTTAAATAAATACATTGACAATCTCGTAGCCCATGACACAATAAAATGTCATATTTCAGTTTCCCTTGGTGCATCTACCTTCCCAAATGTGATGTTATTCAAGCAATATGGTATGCCTCCAGAAAGCTTATTTTCAGAAAGATCTAATAAGCTTATATTCTTGAGCTCGCATAAATGCACTGGAATAGAGCCTTCAAGTTTGTTTCCCTTTAACATGAGGACCCTTAAACTCAAAAATGAGCTAATCAGTCTTGGAATTTGACCAAAAAATTGTTATTTGTCAAATCCAAAATCAACAGTGAGGGAGAATTAGCCAAAGGCAGAGGTCCCATGAAATGGTTGCCCTGCAAATGCAAATACTTCAACAATGGCGTATTTGGACAACTTGGCAAAGAGCCATTGAATTTATTGTAAGAAAGGTCTAGATATGTAAGTTCAGTCAAGTTGCAAAAGCTTTTTGGTAGTGGACCTGTTAAAGAATTCTTTGACAATATGAGGTAGCTCAAATGTTGAAAATTTCTGATCCAGCTAGGCATTTGACCAAATAATTGGTTGGCACTTATATCCAACATTCTTAATTCAGTACTATTCATGACCCCACCTTCTAGCTTTCGTCCGAAGTTATTGTTGTTGAGATCCAAAAACAACAAATATGTGAAATTTGATCCTATGGGCAAACACGGGCCACTCAGGTTGTTGTTTGACAACTTCAAAAATCTCAACTCATTGTTACCCTCACCAAATTTTTGGGGCAAATAACCAGATAAATTATTATTTGACAAGTCAAGATCATTCAATTGTCTCATTTCACCTATTGAAGCTGGAAATCTACCTCGCAACAAAGTTGAAGACATGTCAAGAGAGATCAAGTTGGGAAAAATGAAGCCAATATGAGAAGGTATTTCATCTCTAATAGGGTTAGAGGAAATATCAAATGACTCCATGTGAAGCAATTTTGAGGAGGAATTAAGTTGAAAGGGACCGGTGAACAAGTTGTGCGTCAGATTTAAATCATTTAATCCCGTGTTGTTTGTTAAAAGCCATGAAGGGAAAGTTCCTGAAATGTTCAAGTGACTAAGTTCTAGAAATAGCAAGTCATATTGATAAAGAAGAAAAGTAGGCATTGTTTTATTGCTGGCTTCATTCAGAGTGCAGTTGCGGATTACGAAAGATCTCAACTGGAAGGAAGGGATAAATGGGGGATTCTCAATTTCAAGCCTGAGGTTGGTATTAAAGCATATGACTCTAAATATTTTGAGGCTGGAGTGGTTGGCAAGCAAAGACAATGAAAATGACCCACTGAAATTGTCGTCAGAAAGAGTAATTGCTGTTAGGGACCTCGAAGAATGGAAGAGTAAGGATGGAAAGGTTCCTTCAAAACGATTTTGTTGAAGATCAAGTGTACGTAGAGACATCAAATTGCCAAGGCATGCAGGGAGTTGACCCTCCAGTTCATTGTGGGAAAGATCCAATAATGTAAGATTCTTCATATTACAAAGGCCTCCTACAACATAGCGTTTTCCTTTATTAAATTTATTTAATCAGTCCATCAATATAAAGAAAATTTATAAAACTTAAAATAACAGCTTAATACTTTGCCGGCCAAAAAAAAAAAGGTTAATCCTTTAAACTTTAAGATTCGACGATATTTTTTCAAAAATTGGTTTCTGTGGTCTAAATTAATTTTGCGAGCATGTTCGGCTTAACAAATGCATTTAAATTAATATTGGGCCCCAGAAGCCCGAACATTGAGCCCAAGAATATAAGTAAACTAATAGGGTATATTATCACCAAGTGTTAAAATTAAATAAATAAATATAGATAATGCAAAAAGAAAAAGAATAATAAAGTCATTTTCTTTTATTAGTTTTATTTAGCCAGTGCCTGAAAGTGCAACTCATATTACTTGTGTAATACAGCTCGATCTTATCATTATTTTGTCAACAGTTATCTGCTTTGAACCCCCCTTTTTTTTTCGAGCTGAATGCTTTGACCCCATTTTAAGCCCACTAGTTTCATGAATAAATCATGCGATAGATTTTAAGTAAAATTTTTTTCTCAAGAAATTTGATGTTATTGGTGGAATACTCAATTAACGAATTATGTTTATTTCACTGCAGAAGGTATAAAATATGATTCGTACCTTGTTGTGGCAATGATCCGGTCAGGTTGTTTGCGCCTAATGCCAATTCGGTGAGAGAAGTAAGAGACAAAATAGATTCCGGAATACTGCCCTCCAAGAAATTGAAGGAAAGCCACAGCCCCTTCAAATGGCGTGGACGATAAAGATCTGTCAAATGCCAATTGGATGTGTGCAGATTAAGTAAGTGCCTAATAACATGCCCAGACACATACATGGGGCGTAAGTAGTAATAGCCATTTGGATGGATCATTTATTTATATAAAATGTTTTTAACGAATTGTCCCGCTATTACTTTTAGTTTTTATGCACTGTTAAACTTTGTTGATCTCGTATCTGCCAAGTAAGAAAACTTCATTTTATCTCTCAAGTTTGACAAACCATCATTCAATTCTCCAAACAAAAGACACAAATTCTTCCGGTGAGGTGACAATATCATAAGGTAAATGCTACCTCCCGTCCACAATAGTTTGAGTTTTAATTTAGTTCTAAATATAACATCTCAATCCACTTGTTTCTTATACTCCCTCCGGTCCTACAAAAGGGGTCTTATATTTAGGACCGGAGGAGTATTTAATTTTTTTAAAAAATAGTACTTATAATAGTTGCACATGTAAAAAATTCTATTAAATGGTAGTTCTCGCTAATACACATAATTAGCGAGAGTATTCGAGAGAAAATAACATATATTTATTACAAATAACTAATTTAACTTATTTTTTTTAATCTATTTAAATTAGTCAATTAGCTCTTATATTAAGAACGGAAGTAGTATATGAGTAAGTTAGTTAACCTAATAATATCAATTGACTTCCCAACAAAATCAAGAAAAATTAAAATAGAAACTTTCATATACTATCTCTGCTCCTCAATGTAAGATCTAGTTGACTAATTTGAGAAAATTAAAGAAATAAGTTAAGTTAGTTATTTATAATAAATAGGTGTTATCTTTCCTAAAATATCCTTATCAATCAAGTGTATTGACTAAAACTATTATTATTACAAAAACTACCTTAAAAAATGAATAAATATGAGAGACAAAGTGAATTGTTATCTATATATTTCTTTTAGCATTTTTTTCCTTAAATCATGGCCCCGTAATCCTTCTCTAAAAGTATATATACTTTTGATGTACATCCAGTAATTACATATGTCACCTACTGTTTTATACGAAGCATTGAAAATTAATGATTAAGATTGGGATTGATATTGAAAAAATAATATTTAGCATAAGAGATTGCTTGTTACATGGGATTAAACAAACCTATGTATGTGGGATTAAAGAATACTATGAGAGAAGTGGTATTCTCCAATCCTACTTTTATGAGTTTGCCTAATTCCATGTAACAAATAATTACTCATACAAAATACTTTTTTAATTTTTTTTAATTACAATCATAATTCTTATCCCTCATTTTTAATGCTTGATATGTTACGAGAGCTAAAAGAATACAAAGGACAGAGATTTAGTACCAAGATATGGGAATTCTGTGAGCATATTCGTGTGTAAAGCCAACACTTCCAGGTTCGCCAGTCTGATATCGCCAAACAGCCCTGTCCCACAATTAACGCGTGATCAGTTATTGTGAATGTTAGTGGGTAAAAGTAGTTATAAAAATAATTCATATAATTAATATCATCAATCTCTGACATGGAGTGAAAGTTGATATAGCGTTTACTATGTTCGTTTTGGGCCTTTGGGCCCCCATATATATATATATATCCAAGAATATATGGTTCTTAATAATTTAAATTTCTTTAAAAAAAAAATTAAAACACAAATCAAAGCATCTAGTGTCACGCATTCTAAAATATCTTCATTATATTTTAAAAATGAATAATGAAACTTTTGGTACTCAAGTTTGTCTCAATTATTGGTTCAGTCTCTGAAGTTTAATTTTTATCAATCAAATCCCTAGAGTTTCACGCACAATTTTACTCCTTACCATGTTATCTACTATCTTTAATCTTAATTATAAGACATCATTTATAGACTATAAATAAGACCTTATAATTAGGACCAAAAGTAGTATAAGATACAAATAATCAAATTATGTGAATTAAAAAATTGATTAAATTTTATTAAAAGTTATGAATGTGTAAAAATACATTTTATTTTTCAAAAATAATGCTTATGTTTATGGAGAGAAAGGGTGTGTGAGAGAGAAAGAGTAGAAAAAGTGTGTGTTGAGAGATAATTTATGAAGTGATATAACATGTAACTAATGGGGCAAAAATATTTTTAAAAAAATGGTTATGAAGTTGAACTGCCCTTAATTGTCGCTTTGGGGTTACTCCAAAAATTAACCGAATTAATGCAATATAGTGCACAACTCGGGTCGTTTCACTTTGAGGAGCCGAAAACGAAATTAAACCTTAGTAAATGAATGCAAGTAACCTAAACTATAAAAAGAGATTTTTGATTTTGAAAAGCTGTTAATTAAATACTACGAATCAAATTGAAATTAAAATACTTTTTTTTTTGTTTTTATAAAAAGTGATTAAAATGAATGGAGATTAAAGAAATGAAAATGAGACACACAAATAACACTGATAAAAATCAATCCTCCAATTCAACAACGCAGGCAATCATCACTCTAAAAGATGTGGGAGTTAAAAACAATGAATTAAGAATTATAATTAAGCTTTTGATCCAACAACCGAGCCACCTCGAGTTGCCACAAAATATTTTCCTAAAATCCCAATTTACTAACTGCAACCAGAATAGTAAAATGGGATTAAGGATGCTAAAAACCAATGCTTAATTAGAACTCTTAAATCCAAAATAATAGAATTAAAGCTAGCAAGAGACTATATGATCCAAAATTCTAAGCCACCTTAGAAAATCACAATATATTAATTCCAAAATCAATACAAATGTCATAACCACAACATTATAATTGAGATCAAAACTATAAACAGCCCAATGTCAAATACCAAGTAATAATTCAGTCACAATAATCCCCAAATAATAAACAGATTAAGCAATACAATTATCCCAATAATCAGAAAAACTATCCTAAGACCTAGGAATTGTTAAACAATTATTGAATAGGAAATTAAAGCAACTAAAACTCCCCTTTGATGATCCAAGCTCCTGCCATTATTGTTGAATTAGAGAATTATAAATTCTAGCCTCGGTTTGCCATAAAAAATGTCATATTCAGAATTTTGCAGTCAGCCATGGAAGAACAACAGCGTGAATCCTTTCCTCCGTCGTCAAGCTCGCGCTGTCCAGGTCTCTGTTTCGTTTTATCCTCCTTTGGCGTCCGCGTGTGTAGCTTCCGGGTCTCCTCTCTGTTTCGTCCAGCCCGTGTGTCTGCCTCCAGCTCGCTCGACGTCGTGTTCAGCTTCGTGTGTGCGTCTCTCTCCGTTATTTCCTTCTCTCAGCCGCCGCCTCCAGCTCTGTTCTCCGTTTCTGCGTGTATTCCTCCAGCCGCGCTTCCCAGTGTGTGTGTGTGTCTCCGTCGAGCGCCCCCTGCCACCAGGAAGGTTCAACGGAGAAGATGATGAATGGTTCTTCGTGTTGCGCCGTCGGCTCTCTGGACCTCAGCGCCGGTCCCCTCCTTCGCGTGCGCCTTCTCTGTTTTTTTTTCGGCCGCCCAAAGCTTGCTCTGTTTCGTGTGTGTGTGTTCGGCGCGCTCTCCCCGTTCGCTGGAGATGATGATTATTAGGTTGGGCAAAACGCAACGTTTTGCCCCCAACTTATTATTATTATTTTTTTTCTTTTAATTTAATTTTTTTTCTTTTTTTTTTTAATTTATTTTTTTATTTTTGAATCTTCCAAGAACCTGCAAGTAAAATTCAAGGATAAGGTAGCATTAATTGTCCTTAAAAATCAATTAATCATAATTAAATCAAAACATGACAATTTTGCCCCTATAAAATAATAATTCAAAATAAAACAAAATAAATCAATTAAGGCAAAAAAAAGGACTAATTAAGCTGACAAAACTCATATAAAAGATACCAAAATATATAAAAATAATTGAGTTTGTCAGGTTACAATTTCAGACATCCTTTAATTATATTTTATTTCATAAATAGGACAAATTCACCTCCAAAAACTGTATTTTATAAATTGGAGCAAATGGAGTACATTCTTATTTGTTCTCATTATTAGAGCGACAATTTTTTCTGCAATTCACCTTATTAGTCAACCTAAGAGAGCACATGTACGTATTTTAGGATTATATGTCTTCAAACCATAAGAACGCACTACACGTAGGGTTAGGAAAGTTTAGGGACTTGATTGATAACACAATTAATTAAACTTCATGGTCCAAATCAATTAAGGGTAGCAAATTTGAGGGACCCAAAGTTTCATTATTCCAATCAGAAATTATCCACAAATATTTGGCTAGAAATGGTCTTACCCAGGCAAAAGAGGAAACCAAGGAAAAAGAACGAGGTAACAGACATGAATGATATGATCATAATTTTTTTATTGCAACTAATGTGCTTTTACATCTTCAAAAATCACTATTCGAAACGCTTATAAAAATGAAAGTCTTAATTAGCAATATGTGTCTATGTAATATACTGTGTATATACATGTATGAATGATAAAATAGTTAAAAAGAAAGAGCGTGACCTGACAAGTAGTTTCCAGACAGATGCAATTGTTGAAGTTGGTTGAAAGGAAGAAAAGAAGAAGCATTGAGTGACCCGTTGACGTGTCTCAACTTATAAGGTCTTGTATTGTTCAGATAAAGGCTTATGACTCTATGAGTGGAGTTGTCACACTTCACAGCCTCCCAAGTGCAGCAATCTGCAGAGAAGGTTTGGTTATTCCAAGAAGGAAGAGAAGAGCCATTTGGATAATTGAAAGCTTCTTTCAATTTCAGAAGAGCTTCTCTCTCTTCTTTCAAGCACCCCTCACTTTCTCCATTAAACCCTAATAGTAATATGAATATGGTTATGGCCCTCCCCCACCACACATCTTCTCTCACAGAATACCCCATTTTTCGGCATATGCTTCCTTGTTTGCCTACGTCTTCCATTACGTCCTCTATATCTCTATATATATAGGCCAGAAGGAGGTTCATGTTGCTCACTAGTTGTCTTTAATTTGGCGAGAAAGCACTCAGACTCAGAAAAACGTAACGATCGAGTTGGGCAGTAACCGAAAAAACACGACTGTGGTGCGGGGGGGCAATATAGTCAATGGTCGGTGATGCCCAAGACTTGTAAAGGTTAAAATTAATATACATTTATAAAATGAATGTCATGGAATAATGAAACAAATAAATCTGAAATATCTGATGAATTATTTAAACAACGTTGAGACAAATTAAAGCACAATTTTAGTGGAAAATATTTAACCAACCCATAGTACATGGCCTCATGTAGGCAATAATGGTTGGTCCTTGTACGGCCGGAGGGTAAGGAATTAACCACAATCAACTTTGAAGTGGTCGAACATACAAACAGGGGAATCGCAGTAAGATAACAAAACAAGAAAGAAAGAAAGAAAAGTAAGATGCATATCGAAACCACTTCAAATAGAAAGAAATTATTTCCATTTATTGCTTCGGTTATCAATTTAGTATATGAAGTTTAATTTCTATCAATTAAATTTTTTAATTCTGTATATAAGATATAAATAACTAAGAAATGCATACTCGTGTGTGGTTCTATTTATGAGTTAAAAAGAAAAGATTTCATTTTATTTTATTTATAAGGAACACAATTAAATTTTTTACACGAATATATAATTTTATTTCTTAGAAATTATGGGTATATATATTAAATATAAGTAACATTAGAAAATTAAATCCCAAAATAATCTGACATGGACTATTAACCAGTTTAATTAATCTGGAAAACTAGGAAGAGGTCAAGATATGCTCTCCCAAAATGCACGATAGGGCTTAGGCTCTCCATTTCTGATGATCCCGACAACGTCTATCACCCTCACATGCTAATTTCTAATCCACAAGAATATTATTTACCAGAAAGTTATAATTGTGAGTGGAATTTAAAGTAGTTTCCGTGTTGAATCAGTCATGATGAAGACAAGTTACAAAGTTGCTGATGAGCAAAGAGGATGTGAATGGCATATACATACATACATACATACGTACATATATATATATATATCATACATGTCATTTCTTCAATTGAAGAAAACTACAATTTTGCTTCATAAGCAAGGTTCAGCGTTGTCATAATTGACCCAGACTTGGAGTCGTTTAGTCAGAAAGAATAGAAAAAGATGAAGATACGTTACGTTGCCCCAAAAATACATAATTGGGCTTAACGTAGCCTCTCAATTTAAGAGTGACCCTGACAGTTACCGGCAATAATCACTGCACAATATTAGGGGGTGAACAGCAATAATATGAGATTACAAGTGAAATCAAATTTACAACCTTCCACTTACGGGAGGTCTTTCGTACCATAAGGTTACAAGGGCTCCGCATCTACTATTTTGCATTAAAATTGAGTTTTATTCACTCAGTTATGACTAATCAGGATAATAATTCATTGAATTGAATTTATCTAATAAAACGCGAATTTGAGGTTTTGAGCTTGCCAAAGTCTCCTATGTACGTACCAAGAATAATATAATGACTGGGTTCATTAAAAAAAAAAAAAAAGGGGTGACATGCATATTGGGTTGAACATGCGAACAGGGGAGTCTTAAAAAGATTATACTTTTCTGGTCTTTAATAGAAAACGTCATTAAAGAGTTAATATTAGCTTTATATATGAGATTTATTTCACATGTGTTAAAAAACAACAGGGGGAGAGACGCATACCAAAGCCACTTCAAATTAAAAAAAAAATCATCTTCATTCAGTCCTTCAGTTATCAATTTAGTAGACAAAGTCTAATTTTTATCAATTAAATTTCTAAATTCTGATACGAATAACTAAAACATGAGGGTAAAAAATTAGTTAAAATTGGTTTAAAGTAATAAATGTGTAAAAAATTTATTTCGATTTTGAAAAAACTATTCATACTTATGGAGAGAGGGGGTGAATGAGCAGAAAAAAGAGGTGTGTGAGAGATAATAAACGCAATAATATAATTAATGAGGGAACAAATTACAAAAATGATTAAAATTTCAAACATGTTTATGCCGTGTTTGGATGGAAAAAAAATAGGAGGAAAGAAAGTTAGAGGAAGGAAAGATATTATAACCCCCTTGTTTAGATGGAGGAGAGAAAATTAAAAAAAAAAAAGAAGAATAAATATGTTAACGACTAAAACACTCTAATCTCTATGGCAAAATATATTATGTTCAAAATCACTCCCAAAATCTATATCTTCTAATTAATGTTTTTGTGATTAAAATATCATAGTTATAACGATCTAAAAATCTTAAGGGGGAATCCTAATTAAATCTAATTGAAATATCAAAATTCAAGTTAAGGCATGCACTTTTAACAAATCTCTAATTAGGCCTAGAAGTCTTATTAAATTTTTTTAAATATTTTTAAAAGAATAAAATGCCCCTTTAAATTAGCAAATTGGTAATTGCACCAATTAATTTATGACCTAGTTTCTTTTTTTTGTTTGAGATGCTGTCAGATGATGTATCAGCTTCCTGTGTTCTTGCAGTGATGACCGTATATTGTTAAAAGGCTAAAATGTATCTTTTTTTTTCTATAAATTTATGTTAAGAAGTTCATATTATTTCATTTGTCCTATCAAATCTTGGAAAAATTATCTAGATCTTTAGTACAAGTTCATATTAATTATTGGTATGAATTTTAGTAATGAGATTATAAGATATAACATCATAAGAACGTTTATATGATAGATATAGAAAAGTAATTAAGAAAGAAACGACAAATTTGATGCTAAAATCTATTAATACATTGAGATTCTGATTTTTTTAACTATAAAAAAAAATTTCTTCAAAAAATTATTAATTTAATGGAGTTGGAATCAGGCAACTAAAAGGTTCTTTTTCCCATTATGGAAAAAAAAAAGTCCATGTTCCCATAAATTTCTCATCAATATATTAGAGTTAGTATGTCCATGTTCCCATAAATCTCTCATCAATATATTAGAGTTAGTATAAAATGTTATATTACCCATTGTCGATTTTCTAATCTTAGTATTTTCAAATTTTCTTATGTGAGACTTTTTTTTATAAATAAATACTACATAATGTCAAGTTTTCATGGTTTAATTTTTTGTTTTCAAAAAAAATATTATTTTAAATTATGAAAGGACATTTTATTCTTTTGATAACATTCAAAAATTCCTAATAAAGCCTCTTAGCCTAATTAAAAATTTGTTAAAAATGTAGGTCTTAATTTGAATTTTAATATTTTAAGAGGATTTAATTAGAATTTTCCCAAATCTTAATCAACAATGTATATATTTTTGCAGCTTAAAAAAATTAACAATGTGTGCATTATATGCATGAATGATAAAATAGTCATAAGGACGAGGGTGACAACTGCCACTGGCCCACCGCACCTATTCTCTCGTTGAATATTTTACTCTTTTCTCATTATGCTTCCTTAATTGTGTTGTAAATTGATTTTATGTTCCAAAATGCCCTTAGGGGGTGTTTGACAACCCTCAAAAGTGCTTCTTAGAATGACTTTTCCGCAAAACGAGACAAACTCCTTCACATATTTCCTTCGTAAACCGTAAAAATACTTTTGAAACTATGGTTTGGTTTCCATCCAATCACCCTTTTAGTGTTATACTATTTACTCATTTAATGAAATTCCCAAGTCGACGGCCGGAAGGCGTACAGTGGAACTTTTTTAATTTGTCCCATGTTTAATGGATAAACGTGTTTTTAGCCAACGCATGCTACTGTCTCCTCTCGCGCATCACCTCGTATTTGGAATTTACAAGTTTGTTTGAATTGTTATCCGCACATATTAAAGATGAGTAAAATTAAAAAGTCATTAAAAAGTGAGATTTTAATTTTTAAAATTTGATCCTATTTTAATTTTGATCTTTTAAATTTGATTTTATTTTGATTTTAGTTCTTAAAATTCAAAACCAATACTTTTAGTCCATGAAATTTAACTTCATTTTGATCAGCCTAAATAATTTTGGTCTCTAAAATAAGAATCAAATTTTATGAACCAAAACCATTGATGTTAAGATTCAGGAATCAAAATCAAAATGAGATCAAATTTTATGAATTAAAACTACTAGTTTCAAATTTTAGGAATTAAAGTCAAAATGAAGTTGAATTTCAAGGATTAAAGATGATATTAACTCTACATTTTAATAGAGTTAATGACATTTAATATTTTTCTTAATTATAATAAAACAATTAGGAGTGACCATATGATTTTTCAAGAAAATGAAAAATCTCTTTTTGGTGGAATTTTTTAAGGGTGTTGTTAGAAACATGTTTGTGGAAAAAAAATTTAATTATATGATATAAATAGCCTAATAACAACATAATCTAATATTCTAATTAGAGAAACGGTTAGTTGTGTGCGGCTGGATATAAAATAAAAAGATATAACATTGAATTTCTCGATATATTTATTTAAGTTGTTTAAATTCGAATAAATAACTCATTTTTCTTATTTAATGAAATTATTTTACATTTCAGTCTTATAACTAAAATATTTGAAGATTTAATATTTAAAAATGTATTATTATCTTTATAAGAAAAATATTTATTATTTATTTTACATTTTAGATTTAAAATGAAATGATATAACTTCTATAATTGCGAAAATCATGTCATTTTGGCAAAATGAAATTTTTGCAAAATTTTTGGAAGATGCTATTGGGAAGGTGTTCATGGAGAAAAATTTAATTATATGATATAAATAGCCTAATAACAATATAATCTAATATTTCTAATTTAATTTTTAATACTACCTCCGGTCCTTAATAATATAAGATTATGTTTGACTTTTATTTTGGTCCTAAATATAAGACTCCAATCCACTTTGTCTCTCATATTTATACTTTTTTTTCTTCAAAATAGCCATTCTAAAATAATAGTTTTAGTCAATACACT